TTGATTAATGTGCACTTAATCAACCTATCATTCGCTATAGTGACCCTCTACCCCTCATTTCCTCTGTGATCGAATCAATGCATGGGGCGCGCTTCTTCACGAAATTAGATCTTAGGAGTGCGTACAACCTGGTGCGTGTCCGGGAAGGGTATGAATGGAAGACAGCATTTAGCACAACCACTGGGCATTATGAATACCTGGTGATGCCGTACGGGAATGCTCCATCAGTCTTCCAGTCCATTGTGAACAAGGTGTTTCGGGACATGCTTGGTCGCGGTGTGGTGGTCTACATCGATGACATCCTGGTGTATTCCGCTACGTGCGCTGTCCTATATACCAGGCACTAAGACCGTGAAGGCAGACGCACTGTCACGGTTGTACGACACAGAGGAGAGGCCCATTGACAACACCCCCATACTCTCGGCCTCCTGCATTGTGGCGCCGGTGGTGTGGGCGGTGGACGCGGACATAGAGCGGGCGTTACACACAGAGCCATCTCCACCTCAGTGCCCAGCTGGGCTTCGGTACGTGCCGTCTAGTGTCCGTGATCGTCTTATCTATTGGGCACACATGTCCCCCTTCTCTGGTCACCCAGGCATCGGCCGTACAGTGCGCCACCTTACCGGGAAGTACTGGTGGCCTACCTTGGCTAAGAACGTGAGGGTGTATGTCTCCTCCTGCTCGGTGTGCGCCCAGAGTAAGGCACCTCAGTTACATCCCTTACCAGTTCCACAACGGCCATGGTCCCACTTATCGATCGATTTTCGAACTGATCTTCCCCTCTCTCAGGGTAACACCACCATCCTGGTCGTTGTGGACCGCTTCTCTAAAGCCTGCCGCCTCCTTCCACTGCCCAGTCTCCCCACGGCCCTGCAAACTGCGGAAGCCCTGTTTACTCACGTCTTCCGGCACTACGGGGTGCCAGAGGACATAGTGTCTGACTGGGGTCCCCAGTTTACATCTAGGGTCTGGAAGGCGTTCATGGGACGTCTAGGGGTCTCGGTCAGCCTGACCTCTGGGTTTCACCCCGAATCTAATGGGCAGGTGGAACGGGTGAATCAGGATGTGGGTAGGTTCCTGCGGTCCTACTGCCAGGACCGGCCGTGGAATGGTCGGTGTTCTATAATCCAGTGCGACTTGAGTTTCACCATCAGCTGGAAGACTGTGTCTGTCCCCTTTTCTTAGCTGAGGGAGGGAGAGCAGAAGCCTCAAGGCTCCTCCCTCCCCTCAGACTGACCCTCAGAAGCAGGCCATTAGTCCAGTAAAAAAAAAAAACTCATTATTATGCTAACTCAGCTGTGCTTCACAAGTAATACAACAAATATCTATTACCAGTGTGATCATATACCTACATTAAAAAAATACAGTGAGGGAAAAAAGTATTTGATCCCCTGCTGATTTTGTACATTTGCCCACTGACAAAGAAATGATCAATCTATAATTTTAATAGTAGGTTTATTTGAACAGTGAGAGACAGAATAACAACAAAAAAATCCAGAAAAACGCATGTCAAAAATGTCATAAATTGATTTGCATTTTAATGAGGGAAATAAGTATTTGACCCCTCTGCAAAACATGACTTAGTACCATTAAAATTATAGACTGATCATGTCTTTGTCAGTGGGCAAACGTACGAAATCAGCATGGGATCAAATACTTTTTTCCCTCACTGTATATAATTTCAAAATGGTCTGAGAAGAACAACATTGGCAGGGCAATTCAAGCATAACCAATTCAAGCATAGCCAATATGCAGTGATAATGTATTGGTCCTATAGCCTACTCTCACAAATCTCATTGCTAAAGAACTGTTTTTAATTGGTTTGCATAGGCTTATGTTTTTTAAGGGGCAGCGGTAGATCTCGGCTTACATTTTGACTCAGAAAGTGATCTTGACTCAGAAAAGGTTGGTGACCACTGCTGTAGGCCTATTTTACATTCAGCAATTAGCAAGAGCAAGCCTGCTTCTCTCCTCGAATAGGCTATTAGGCCTAGTATAACAAATTCTACAAATAAATGTCCTATAGCTTTTGTAGCTATAGCATTTCCTGGGATTTCACACGAAGAGAATAGCAGAGAGGCATTGCGTAGCCTATTTCGCACAGGAACAGCTGAAAGAAAGAGGCTATAGAGATGTGTAGCCAAAGTAAAACGCTAAATAAAAGGTAGATATTAGGCCTTTCATTAGCTAAATATTAGGGCTATAAATATTTACCTGTCAAAGTGCCGGAAAAAAAAAGTTTACAGATTATGAAATGGCAGATATAGGCAATGCATTCCTCTGCGGTTGCCGGCACACAAAAAGCTCCACTATTGATTAGGCCTAATTTTTAGACAATAAAATTATTCTACCTAAGCTACAGCAATGAGGTATGTATTATTGTTAGTACACAATTATTGTCTAGGCTGTAAACTGCAGTGATGTAGGCTAATTTGAATAACCACTCAAACATCCTTTCGAATGCATGTTTCATGCCAAAATAAAGCTCTGATTATACAACCATTTGGATCAGTTATGGGTCTATTCTCTACAGTTTACGAGGTCCAGAAAGTTGCATTAGTCCACTCATATGGTGTATTTTGTCAGGATGTATTGGCGTTTACAGATACCATAGGAAAATAGGCTATATATGACACTGAGATGTGCTGTCTGTCATGTATCATCAGTCTCCCAAGTCGTGCTATAATTAATGTGGCCACCAGTATATTCCAAAATTATCGGGCCGGATATATGCTGAAGTGGACATGGCCCGAGTGCCATTAGCAGGAACCCAGAGTAATATGATTCTGCCGGACTCAGGAAGAGCTCGGCCCGCATGAAGCCCTCCCCGAGTCCGAGTCGATGCCGAGTCCCCCGAGTCTCAAACAGAATAGGCCCGAGCCCACCGGGATTATGTTTACTGTTAATATTTTGATATAACATATATTTATTTGATTGTATATACGTTATATACATAGTTTTAGCAAGCGCTTTGGCAGCAATCTAAGCTTGTTTTGCTATAATATTTAGCTAGTTAGCTTTGCAAACTCTAGCCTAGCTAGCTAGCATGAAGTGTAGGCGATATAAAAATGTATGTAAAAACAGCTCTGGCTTAGTTTAGAAGACAGACTGATGTACATTTTTTACAGCAGAATTACTTTTGAATTACTTTTGATGCACCGTTGAAAAGATTTGTATAATTAGTTCCTTGTTCTATCTGTGCCAGTAGTGTACAGCAGCTGCCATTACTGCAGTAGCGAAAAACCAGAAACAGTCATCTCCCCCGCAATTTCAACCCCCCCCCCCCCCGGGAGATAGGCTCATTGGGAGATACAATTCCACTGAAACGCTACACTCAACTTCAAAATAACATTTCATCATCTGGAGAGTGCTCTCTCTCATGCACCAACTTTCCTGACAAATGTCATCATCTTGGCAACATTGAACCAATGTTAGACCACTCCCCTCTCTTATCTCTGCTGTGTGTCTCTCCCTCTTCTTCTGTCTGTCTCCCTCACTCTCCCCCTTTCTCTCTTTTGCAATGACCCTCCATTTCGTTGTGCCAGATTTGATAGCTTGTGTTGTCAATGGCTCTATTGGTATGTGTGACCGTGTTATTTATGTCAATGTTGTCTGTAAATGTTGATTTATTTTTAACTCGAAAACAAATTTGTGAATAAGACCAATAAAGTGGACTTGGCTGAACTCTCTCACTTTGACAACTCCAAGTTCACCATAATATAAATATAATTTGTCTGACTCTTAAGGATGTAATAAATTCAATTTAACATCCTTGGGTCAGGGTCAAGGAGCAACGGCTACCTTGTTGGCACTAGGACCCAGCAAAAAATAATGACATATGGGAAGCCATGTAAGTCAGTGCAAGAGAACTTGCAGCAGAGAAGGGAAAATGATTATGAGAGGGAGGGAATGAAAGAGACCACAGACAAAGAACAGAGACTGGGAAAGAACACTGGGAGGAGGGAGTGGGATAAAGAGAGAGACAGAAGGACGCAGGGCAGACAAGAGGAACAGGGCTGCAGTTGGAAAGAGTGACAGCTCAAGATCAAGAGGCTGATAGAGAGTGAGAGTGAACGAGGAGCCCACTAAGAAGGAGGGAGGGAGGAGGAGGAGTCTTGAACAACAAGAGGAAGATAAAAAAAAAGCGCTTGGGAGAGAGAAAGATCTACAAACAGAACCCGTCCAAACACAGCCATTACACTGGAGCAGCGTGCTGAGCCCAAGGAATATGGATTGAAGTCAAGACAAGTTGGAAATCTATCTGGGAATAGGACACCTTAATTCAACCGACAACCAAAGGAACAACTGCTGTAGCGAGGAGAGGAGGAGAAAGACAGACAGTGAGAGGGAGCAAGAGAAGAGAGAGAGTACAGGATAGTGAACGAGTAAGGGAAAAAGAGTGGCTAGACAGAGGAAGGCAAAAGAAAGAGAATTAATACCACCCACTGTGCCAATACCACACACAGATTCAAAGACAGAAACCCTGCCTGTGCCACACACATAGTATTTATGTCTCACACAGTGGCAATACTGCACACACCGAATTTCTCAAACACGTTTGCGTGCGACATATGCAGTAAGTATTCGACACGCTGAAATCAAAACGTTTGTATCAACAGAAACGGAGAGACACAAAGAAGATAAAGAGGCATGGAGAGACATTAGAGCGTCATATGGGTTGATATTACTACGCACAGAGTTACATAGACAGACAAAACGCAACATAGTGGCATCACGGGGCCTCCACAGGAGCAGGAACTCTTGGAAAACTAACCTGAGGAACTATACCGCCAACTTAACCCCATAAAATAATTACCACAGAGCTGGAGGCCGGTGATTGTCCTACACTTTGACTACAATCCTACCACCATCAAACAGCAGCAAAGCAGAGCAACTGTATTGAGGATCTATCATATCCGTAGGATGGGTGCCTAAGACAGGCGAGCTGAAGAGCTGTGTCCCTGGAAGGAGCACCACCAGCCCTCCAGCCCCTCCCCACCATGCTGCCCCGGACGGCCCAGGGCAGGGGCACCTTAAGCAGAGTACGAGGGCTCCTGCTGCTGCCCCTCCTAATGGTGCTGCTGGTGACTTTTTGTGCTGCACAGAGTGAGAAGAGTCAGGAAAACCAGGGAGAGAATAACACTGGCAGTACGGAGAGCCCGGTACGTCTCTATCTTAACGCACACCATTACCAATACGTCTCTCACGTACACACATAATCACACATTAACAATTAAACACATAGTTTTTTTCCAAAATGGCAGTATGTGCCTGACATGATGAATGACTGTTATGATTGGTATAAGTTAGTGAGTCAGATATAATTGCTGTGGTAAATATTGTGACATTACTGTTCAGTGTGAGGACCAAGTGGTTACAGTGTGCATGGTTCAAGGGGATATATTTAAACATTCATGGTAATGGTAATGGTAACTCATTGTAATTGCAGGAGACTGTCTCCTCAGATGTGGCCATCGTCAGTCCTCGTAACTCCTGGCTTGTCTTCAGACACAACTCCAACAAAGGAGAGAACAAGAAGACCAAGCCCCCAAAGAGGGCATCTAAGGTGAGTAGATATAGAAATGGAAACCCATACAGATCTACACAGTAGGCTAATACAAGCCTAGCTAACACGGATACAAGCTAGCTAACACAGGTACATTCAGATTCTGGCTTATATAAATTCTGAACAAAAATATGAGTGCAACATGCAAAGATTTTACTGAGTTACAGTTCATATAAGGAAATCAGTCAATTGAAATACAGTGAGGGAAAAAAGTATTTGATCCCCTGCTGATTTTGTACATTTGCCAACTGACAAAGACATGATCAGTCTATAATTTTAATGGTAGGTTTATTTGAACAGTGAGAGACAGAATAACAACAAAAAATCCTGAAAAACACATGTAAAAAATGTTAGAAATTGATTTGCATTTTAATGAGGGAAATAAGTATTTGACCCCTCTGCAAAACATGACCTAGTACTTGGTGGCAAAACCCTTGTTGGCAATCACAGAGGTCAGATGTTTCTTGTAGTTGGCCACCAGGTTTGCACACATCTCAGGAGGGATTTTGTCCCACTCCTCTTTGCAGATCTTCTCCAAGTCATTAAGGTTTCGAGGCTGACGTTTGGCAACTCGAACCTTCAGCTCCCTCCACAGATTTTCTATGGGATTAAGGTCTGGAGACTGGCCAGGCCACTCCAGGACCTTAATGTGCTTCTTCTTCAGCCACTCCTTTGTTGCCTTGGCCGTGTGTTTTGGGTCATTGTCATGCTGGAATACCCATCCACGACCCATTTTCAATGCCCTGGCTGAGGGAAGGAGGTTCTCACCCAAGATTTGACGGTACATGGCCCCGTCCATCGTACCCTTTGATGCGGTGAAGTTGTCCTGTCTCCTTAGCAGAAAAACACCCCCAAAGCATAATGTTTCCACCTCCATGTTTGACAGTGGGGATGGTGTTCTTGGGGTCATAGGCAGCATTCCTCCTCCTCCAAACACGGCGAGTTGAGTTGATGCCAAAGAGCTCCATTTTGGTCTCATCTGACCACAACACTTTCACCCAGTTCTCCTCTGAATCATTCAGATGTTAATTGGCAAACTTCAGACGGGCCTGTATATGTGCTTTCTTGAGCAGGGGGACCTTGCGGGCGCTGCAAGATTTCAGTCCTTCACGGCGTAGTGTGTTACCAATTGTTTTCTTGGTGACTATGGTCCCAGCTGCCTTGAGATAATTGACAAGATCCTCCCGTGTAGTTCTGGGCTGATTCCTCACTGTTCTCATGATCATTGCAACTCCACGAGGTGAGATCTTACATGGAGCCCCAGGCCGAGGGAGATTGACAGTTCTTTTGTATTTCTTCCATTTGCGAATAATCGCATCAACTGTTGTCACCTTCTCACCAAGCTGCTTGGCGATGCTCTTGTAGCCCATTCCAGCCTTGTGTAGGTCTACAATCATGTCCCTGACATCCTTGGAGAGCTCTTTGGTCTTGGCCATGGTGGAGAGTTTGGAATCTGATTGATTGATTGATTGATTGCTTCTGTGGACAGGTGTGTTTTATACAGGTAACAAGCTGAGATTAGGAGCACTCCCTTTAAGAGTGTGCTCCTAATCTCAGCTCGTTACCTGTATAAAAGATACCTTGGGAGCCAGAAATCTTTCTGATTGAGAGGGGGTCAAAAATTATTTTGGACATGCGTTTTTCTGGATTTATTTGTTGTTATTCTGTCTCTCACTGTTCAAATAAACCAACCATTAAAATTATAGACTGATAATTTCTTTGTCAGTGGGCAAACGTACAAAATCAGCAGGGGATCAAATACTTTTTTCCCTCACTGTAAATAAATTAGGCCCTAAACTATGGATTTCACATGACTGGGCAGGGGCGCAGCCATGGGTGGGCCTTGCCCAGCCAATCAGAATGAGTTTTCCCCCACAAAAAGGCTTTATTACAGACAGAAATACTCCTCAGTTTCATCAGCTGTCCGGGTGGCTGGCCTCAGACGATCTCGCACGTGAAGAAGCCGGACATGGAGGTCCTGGGCTGGCGTGATTACACGTGGTCTGTGGTTGTGAGGCCGTTTGAACATACTGCCAAATTCTCTAAAATGACGTTGGAGGTGGCTTATGGTAGAGAAATTAACATAAAATTATCTGGCAACAGCTCTGGTTGACATTCCTGCAGTCAGCATTCCAATTGCACGCTCCCTCAAAACTTGAGACATCTGTTGCAGGTGTTGTGTGACAAAAGTGCACATTTTAGAGTGGCCTGTGTAATGATCATGCTGTTTAATCAGCTTCTTGATATGCCACACCTGTCAGGTGGATGGATTATCGTAGCAAAGAAGAAATGCTCACTAACAGGGATGTAAACAAATTTGTGCACAAAATTTGAGATAAATAAGGTTTTTGGGCGTATGGAACATTTCTGGGATCTTTTATTTCAGTTCCTGAAACATGGGACCAACACTTTACATATTGTGTTTATATTTTTGTTCAGTATATTTACAGTGCCTTCAGAAAGTATTCATACCCCTTGACTTATTCCACATTTTCACCTATCTATCTACACACAATACCCCATAATGACAAAGTGAAAACATGTTTATAGAAATGTTAGCAAATTTATTGAAAATGAAATACAGAAATATCTCATTTACGTAAATATTCACACCCCTGAGTCAATACATGTTAGAATCACCTTTGGCAGCGATTACAGCTGTCAGTCTTTCTGGGTAAGTCGCTAAGAGCTTTGCACACCTGGATTGTACAATATTTGCACATGCTTCCGGATTCCACACAGAGGGGACTATCCCCCGTGGAGAGCCACACCCTCTGTCCTGGGCGAAAAACTGGGTCTGGGCGATGCCTGCGGTTGGTCTGATGTTGAGACCTGACGAGGCCCGCTTAAGCGCTGCCCGTAACTGCCTCCAGGTGCGGCGACAGCGACTGATGTGGGCCTGGACCGACGGGCCGCCGCCTCCTCCTCTTGCTCTGGGAATAAGGGGGGTTGGTACCCGTATTGGCACTGGAAGGGGGACAGGCCGGTGGACGAGCAGAGAAGGCTGTTGTGGGCGTACTCCGCCCATGCCAGTTGCTGACTCCACGTAGCTGGGTTGCTGGTTGACGCGCTCTGTCTGCCCGTTCGACTGGGGATGGAAGCCAGAAGACAAGCTGACGGAGGCGCCGAGGCAGGTGGGGAACACCTTCTAGAACCTGGAGGCGAACTGAGAACCCCGATCTGACGCCACATCTTGGGGAAGGCCGTGGACCCGGAAAACGTGCTGCACCACCAACTTAGCCGTCTCGCAGGCCGACGGGAGTTTGAGAAGGGGTATGAAGTGGGCAGCCTTCGAAAACCATTCCACAACGACCAGGATGACTGTGTATCCATCAGAGGGGGGTAAGGCGGAAATGATATCCAGCTAGATGTGGGACCAGGGGTGCTTGGGGATAGGCAGGGGTCGGAGCAGCCCTGCCGCGGGCTGAGGTGAGCTCTTCGTGTGCACGCACACCGGGCAAGCCGCCACGAAAGCGCACGTACCCCCCTCAGCTGATGGCAACCAGAACCTCCTACGCAGGAACTCCAACGTCCTGGCAGCCCCCGGATGGCTGGTGAGGTCGGACGCGTGCGCCCACTGAAGCAGTCGCGAGCGCGCAGCCTTGGGTACGTACATCCTCCCCAATGGGCCTCCGCCCGGATCGGGCTCCCGCCGTAGCGCTGCTCTGACCAGCCTATCGATTCCATTGGGGACAATGGGGTCATCTCTCTCCACCAGGTCCACGGGTATGAGATCGTGAACCGGAATCTGGTGAAGAACAACGCCCACCTGGCCTGGCGTGAGTTGAGCCTCTTGGCCCCCTGAACGTAGGCTAAATTCTTATGGTCAGTCCATACGACGAATGGATGGGCGGCCCCCTCTAGCCAATGCCCCCTCTAGCCGACGGGAGAAAAACAGGTAGGGGTGAGTCTTACCGTCCGGAGGAACCGCTGGGACAGGATTGCTCCCACCGCAACGTCTGAAGCATCCACCTCCACAATGAACGGTAGGGACGGATCAGGATGCCCTAGGACCAGGGCCGATGTAAAGCGCAACTTAAGCGCAGCAAATGCGTTCCACGCTTCCGGGGTCCAGGCGAAGGGGCGCACGCTCGTCTGGGTGAGGGCTGTCAGGGGCGTGGCTAGGGAGCTAAAATTGCGAATAAATCGCCTATAAAAATTAGTGAACCCTAAAAACCTTTGTAGTTGCTTGAGGGATGGGCTGGGGCCAATCCAGTACCGCGCTGACCTTGGCTGGGTCCATCCGTAGGTCCCCCTGGGTGACAATGAACCCCAAGAAGGAGACTGTCTCTCTATGGAACACGCAGTTCTCCGCCTTGACGTACAGCTGGTGACGGAGAAGGAGTTGGAGGACCTGCCGAACGTGCTGCTGGTGTTCACTCATGTCCTTTGAAAATATTAGGATGTCATCCAAATACACGAAGACGCTGTAGTCGAGGAGGTCCTGGAGCATGTCATTGACTAACACCTGGAACACTGCAGGTGCATTGGCACGGGGACAGTGCGCCGGGTGATGAAGCCCGACCCCAACGGCCGGCCATCCAGGCCCATGACCGGAACCGGCTCAGAGAGGGAAAGTAACGGAACGCTCCACCCTTGGGCCAGCCCCGCTGTTTCCTGCGGCCCCCGCGGTACTCAGAGATGTGTTGTTTTGGATTTGCCCCAAACATTAAGCTTTGTATTCATGATATAAAGTTAATTTCTTTGCCACATTTTCTGTAGTTTTACTTTAATGCCTTATTACAAACAAGATGCATGTTTTGGAATATTTTTATTCTGTACAGGCTTCCTTCTTTTCACTCTGTCATTTAGGTTAGTGTTGTGGAGTAATTACAATGTTGTTGATCCATCCTCAGTTTTCTCGTATCACCGCCATTAAACTCTGTAACTGTTTTAAAGTCACCATTGGCCTCACAGTGAAATCCCTGAGCGGTTTCCCTCCTCTCCAGCAACTGAGTTAGGAAGGACACGTATCTTTGTAGTGACTGGGGTTTGTAGTGACGCCCTCATTCTCATCGACGGGGCTGTAGGGGAACAGGTTGAGAGCTTCAAGTTCCTTGGTGTCCACATCACCAACGAACTATCATGGTCCAAACACACCAAGACAGTCGTGAAGAGGGCACGACAAAGCCTATTCCCCCTCAGGAGACTGAAAAGATTTGGCATGGGTCCTGAGATCCTCAAAAAATTATACAGCTGCACCATCGAGAGCATCCTGACTGGTTGCATCGCCGCCTGGTATGGCAACTGCTCGGCCTCCGACCGCAAGGCACTACAGAGGGTAGTGCGTACGGCCCAGTACATCACTGGGGCCAAGCTTCCTGCCATCCAGGACCTCTATACCAGGCGGTGTCAGAAGAAGGCCCTCAATGTTGTCAAAGACTCCAGCCACCCTAGTCATAGACTGTTCTCTCTGCTACCGCACGGCAAGCGGTACCGGAGTGCCAAGTCTAGGTCCAAAAGACTTCTCAACAGCTTCTACCCCCAAGCAATAAGACTCCTGAACAGCTAATCATGGCTACCCGGACTATTTGCACTGCCCCACCACCCCCACCCCCCACCCCCCACCCCATCTTTTTACGCTGCTGCTACTCTGTTAATTATTTATGCATAGTCACTTTAACTCTAACCACATGTACATATTACTTCAACTACCTCAACTAGCCGGTGCCCCCACATATTGACTCTGCACCGGTACCCCCCTGTATATATAGCCTCCCTACTGTTATTTTATTTTACTTCTGCTCTTTTTTTCTCAACACTTTTTTGTTGTTGTTGTTTTATTTTACTTTTTTATTTAAAAATAAATGCACTGTTGGTTAAGGGCTGTAAGTAAGCATTTCACTGTAATGTCTGCACCTGTTGTATTCGGCGCATGTGGCCAATAAAATTTGATTTGATATGATTGATACACCATCCAAAGCGTAATTTATAACTTCACCCTGCTCAAATGGATATTCAATGTCTGTTTTTGTTTTGTTTTTGTTTTTCCATCTACCAATAGGTAACCTTCTTTGTGAGGCATTGGAAAACCTCCCTGGTCTTTGTGGTTGAATCTATGTTTGAAATGTACTGCTCGACTGAGGGACCTTACAGTTAATTGTATATGGGGTACAGAGATGAGGTAGTCATTCAAAAACCATGTTAAACAATATTATTGTACACAGAGAAAGTCCATGCTACTTATTATGTGACTTGTTAAGCAAAATTTTTTATTTAGGCTTGCCATAACAAAGGGGATGAACACTTATTGACTTGACATCTCAGCCTTTTATTTTTTATTAATTTGTAAGAATTTCTAAAAACATTTTTCCAATATGGGGTATTGTGTGTAGGCCAGTGACACATAATCTCCATTTTAATTTCAGGCTGTAACACAACAAAATGTGGAAAAAGTCAAGGGGTGTGAATACTTTCTGAAGGCACTGTAGGTTTAAACTATATACGTTTAAATATGTATGCTGCTAAGTGGGCACGATGGTAACATAAGCGAAAGCAGGTGAAATGGGTTCAAAGAAGCTAATGTAAGCAAGCGTTAGGCTAACACATCAAAAGACATACCAGGTAAGCAAATTTAGGGCGCTATTCAATCTGTAAAGCTGAAGTGTTTAAAATATAAAGGTAATTTCTGATTGAGCCGACATATGCAGCGTTTACCGTGAATACAGTCTCCGCTAAAGCGGGAACATTACCTTAAAATTTGAATCATGCTGTAAAGCTGAACTTCAGCAATGCGGATTGAATAGAGCCCCTAGTGTCTTACGTGACCAGATATATTCAACACAGTTGAATAAATACTGAGCAGCATATTCACCTAGGCTATGTGTGGGTTCCCCTGGATTTACAGTTAGCAGCAGGTGTATTGCTAACAGGTAAATAAATATACAGTACATGCGTGTAGCAATAAATAGATGGATACAGGTTAGTTTATATAATGACATAGCTATTGAAATAGAGGCTGCACTAACTTACCAAAAATGTATTTACATGGTAGTTAAGGTGTGTACAATGTAATCACTGTAGGTACATATTACTACATATGTATTACAACTGTTACTTGTTTGCAGCATGCACAATATCAAGGATTTGGACATAAACTCTCAATGAAGACAACTGAATGCTGGTGAGCAAATGGGTCTAGAGTAGATACACTGTGTCTTTACTGTTCATTTCATCCATTGCAAGTCAAGGTAGATCTCCTTACATTTCACCTTAGTTGAAATTCAAATACACATGCAATAGGTGTGGTCTGAGCATTGTGAGTTTAGGGCCCTCACTCAGGAAGAAGTAAGGCATCTCTGCTCTCTCGTGTTAGATGGTGGGAGTGATAGATTGTTTAATTGTAACAGGTTTAAAGGGTGCCAATTTGACCAAGTTTAGTCAAAATGATGGGCAATGATTTTAATAAAAAAGAGTGTCTAGGTATACCGCATTTAATCTGGATTTGATGAAGCAAGTTTATAGTCTTAGAATCCCTTGCTTCCCTTTTATCCTGATCCATCGAGAATAACTGTAACCAATCAGTTTTAGGTGTAGACGCCTTTAGATATTCCCGTTTGTATGAACTCTTTGAGGACTGATCATCGAGGACTGGTTTCATTTTTTTTTTGTCTCTGTCTGTAGCATGGGCTACCAGGGCCCCCCGGACCACCAGGCCCCCAAGGGCCACCCGGCCCCCCCGCCCCGCTGTTACCTCAGCAGGAAGAGCTGATGCAGGAGTTCCAGCTACGACTGAGAGGTACACAAGAACAGACCAATGGCAGACTCTGAAATTAAGGGACAGACCTGGATGTCAACCAGTCATTGGTCTCCACTAGGCTACGACATAGTGTCAAGTGTATCCTAAGGTCCAAATTTTGTTCAATCGTGGCCTGGGGTGGTCTAGCGTTTAGGGGCCGCTACCTTCAGCACGCACATATAGGCCTATCGTGTCGATTCTGGCCCACGCCCTTCTGGCACAAAGAACTCAATCCCACGATTGGCTTGATATATTTACACATTTCAAATATGGACAGTCCAGGAATATTCTATCCTGATCTTGATAATAAATTACCATACCAGACACTTTTGGACAACATAAATAGGGAACAAATCAAATAATAACAATAGGCCACACCAACATTAGTTTCCATTTATACAACGTGTCGGGTACATTTCCACAGTAGGTTTGCTGTGGTAAACGATTAAATACTTTGTTTCTATTGTACGGAATGCTTGTCAAATAGATAAATCGCCATTAGTCTGTTCAAAAAGGTCTAAGTTGTTCTGATTACAATACAAACCAGAGGACAAACATATCTTGAAAGACTTTGGTTGCAAGCAGGACTAAGGTAAAACGATTTTGTTGCGCTGAGACACTTTTTTTTTTATCAGACTATTCTTTTTACTTATTGAAATTTTTTAAATAAATGCAATTCAATTTTGGGCCTAATGTAGGCTCAGGCTGGTCACGATATCATGAGGCTCTGAGCCAGAGCTTGCTGCTTAGACCACTGCGCTACGGCAGTTAACAATACTCTAACAAGCATTAAGAATACTATGAATACTGATGACACATAGGCGCGTCGTTTTTAATTATTTTGTTTTAATCCTTCCCCAAAACATGGTCCTAGTGCTCTATTCAATCCACATTGCGGAAGTTCAGCTTTACCTTGTGATTTAAATTTAAAGGCAATGTTCCCGCTTTAGCGGAGACTGCATTCACGGTAAATGCTGCATATGTCGGCTCAATCGGAAATTACCTTTACATTTCTATTGCGGAATCTGTAACACTTCAGCTTTACAGATTGAATAGAGCCCCTAACCTTAACCACTCTGAATTAATGCCTAAACTGTTAACCTAATAGTTTCAACCCTGTAACCACGTGGAATGAATACATCAAAAATAGACGTTCATCCACGAGGCAAAGGGCAGTGGGCCAGGTTCAAACCCATGCTGACTCTGGCTGTAACCGATGGACCACACAGGCACTGAGGAAACAAATAATTTATTCTGCCTATTGTTTACCTTCAACATATACAGTGAGGGAAAAAAGTATTTGATCCCCTGCTGATTTTGTACGTTTGCCCACTGACAAAGAAATGATCAGTCTATAATTTTAATGGTAGGTTTATTTGAACAGTGAGAGACAGAATAACAACAACAAAATCCAGAAAAACGCATGTCAAAAATGTTATAAATTGATTTGCATTTGAATGAGGGAAATAAGTATTTGACCCCCTCTCATACAGAAAGATTTCTGGCTCCCAGGTGTCTTTTATACAGGTAACGAGCTGAGATTAGGAGCACACTCTTAAAGGGAGTGCTCCTAATCTCAGTTTGTTACCTGTATAAAATCAAATCAAATTTTATTGGCCACATGCGCCGAATACAACAGGTGCAGACATTACAGTGAAATGCTTACTTACAGCCCTTAACCAACAGTGCATTTATTTTAAATAAAAAAAGTAGAATAAAACAAAAAAGTGTTGAGAAAAAAAGAGCAGAAGTAAAATAAAATAACAGTAGGGAGGCTATATATACAGGGGGGTACCGGTGCAGAGTCAATGTGCGGGGGCACTGGCTAGTTGAGGTAGTTGAAGTAATATGTACATGTGGGTAGAGTAAAAGACATCTGTCCACAGAAGCAATCAATCAATCAGATTCCAAACTCTCCACCATGGCCAAGACCAAAGAGCTCTCCAAGGATGTCAGGGACAAGATTGTAGACCTACACAAGGCTGGAATGGGCTACAAGACCATCGCCAAGCAGCTTGGTGAGAAGGTGACAACAGTTGGTGCGATTATTCGCAAATGGAAGAAACACAAAAGATCTGTCAATCTCCCTTGACCTGGGGCTCCATGCAAGATCTCACCTCGTGGAGTTGCAATGATCATGAGAACGGTGAGGAATCAGCCCAGAACTACACGGGAGGATCTTGTCAATGATCTCAAGGCACCTGGGACCATAGTCACCAAGAAAACAATTGGTAACATACTATGCCGTGAAGGACTGAAATCCTGCATCGCCCGCAAGGTCTTAATGACTTGGAGAAGATCTGCAAAGAGGAGTGAGACAAAATCCCTCCAGAGATGTGTGCAAACCTGGTGGCCAACTACAAGAAACGTCTGACCTCTGTGATTGCCAACAAGGGTTTTGCCACCAAGTACTAAGTCATGTTTTGCGGAGGGATCAAATACTTTTTTCCCTCACTGTAATAAACAATTTATCTAAAAAAAACTATATTTTTCAGGGGGTGCTGCAGCACCTTCAGCACCCCTATGCCAACAACCCCCTAAATATTTCTTCAGATATTCAAATCCTCCTGCTGCAGGACTAGTTTCCGCCTGCGATGAAAGGGGTGAAATTAAGATCCAACATCGGTGACATTTCAAGCTAGCTGTAAAATGAGTTTACGGTACGTTCTTAACCCCATTACGCTCACCCCTTCTAAACTTGCTACACAGCGAACTACCCCGGCCGTTGAGCCGATCCTGGTCACAGACACCACTGTAACGGGGGACAGTGTGCTACAAACAGTTTAGCTTCCTCCACTGTCCGATTTCCCCAGACTGGGCTCGAACCAGTGATCCTCTGCTTCGCAACACACATGACCACCCTCCTTGACAATGTTCCAACGGGTCAAGCCACTCAAAATGTACCTGTTGGATTGCTCCATCGGCGACATTTCAAGCTAGCTGTTGCGTGAGCTTACAGTACGTTCCTAACTCCGTTACACAAGTTCTATTCTACATTTTAGTCATTTAGCAGATGCTCTTATCCAGAGCGACTTACAGCTAGTGAGTGCATACATTTTTCATACTGGCCCCCCGTGGGAATCGAACCCACAACCCTGGCATTGCAAGCACCATGCTCTACCAACTGAGCTACAGGAGGCTCTGAGCTTCTATGACTCCATAGTGGCAGGCAGCTCTACGCAGTGCATTCTCTTATAGTAAAGTGCGGCCTGGAAATAAGATTAAATTTCTAAAGTAGGCAAACCCTTTGTCGTCATTATGATGTCACTAGTTCTACTTTAGAAGTAGTATAACATTGCATAGTTAAGATTGAGTGAAGAGCATGTTAGCATTGCTAGGTTTTTATGACGATAGTTGCTAGATAATGGCGACATAGATATACTTTAGGCATATTGCTGATGCAGTGGAGGCTCCTCAGAGGAGGAAGGGGAGGAACAACCTAATTAGTAAAAAAAAAAAATGTATAAGGTATCCTTTTTAGATAAAGCTATACTAAATATATTCACGTCACCAAATAACTGATTAAAACACATTGTTTTGCAATAAAGGTCTACAGTAGCCTCAACAGCGCAGCTGAATACTGTATGCTGAAAACACTCGGTTTGTTATTTTTTACTAAAATATGAGTTAAATATAAATACTGAACTTGTTTTTGCATGGATTCCGCGACGCGGTTAGCTTTTAACAGCTAGGACCGCTATTTCTTGTCCGAGAATCCCGCTTAACAGACAGGTTGAAGCCTGCTTGACAGATCTGCAAAGCTACTAGCCATCAAGCTAACGAAGTTAGTCCCAGATGAGTTTTGCAATGGAGCCCTCTTTGTCTGGAGAAATAAATGAACGGTTCCAGCACTGTAGTAGCTGTATCTACTATGCTTTGTTTCGGGACAAACTGGATCACTCAGAGTTCCAATGTGGCAATTGTTTGCTTGCCGAGGATTATAGGCTTGAGGTGGCTTCCTTGATCACGCAGGTCACCAGCCTACGTAATAAACTGGGGAAACGCAGAGTGGAATGTTTACCTTTTCTACGCCGGTGGCTGGACGTCGTTCGCACTTGTTGGATGCATCTCCGCCTTGTCGTTTGTCGTTATCCGACTGGCCGGTGTTGCCTGGTGTTCGTTCGCCAGGGGAGCCTGCCTCTCCTCCCCCATCTGATAGCGGAGTCGAAGGAGCACAGCAAGAGGAGCATGGCACTCAACGATGGTCGCATGTCACAAGCCGTGGAAGCCGAAGACAGCGGCCTCCCGCAAAGCACTCTACACTCCCAACGAGAGGCCCGGAGCGGCTACAAACAACAAATAGTTTTGCTGTCCTGGAGCCTGATCTTCCTGCAACTTCGTCGCTGGGGGTGCCTGTGTCTGCGGCCGCAGTGCCTACTCCTACGATTTCTAAGTCGACGTCGGCAAACTTCCGTCCCTGCTCTGGATCGAGCGGGGCTTCTCCATCTGTCGGAGGCCTGCACTAGGCGCCGGGAGCGACGGGCTGAAATGATCCTGCCTCTCGCCCATCCATAAAGGGTTCTCCGAATCCTGTGAAGCGTAAGAGTGTGTGGATTTCCTCATCCTTCTCGCCGGCCGTGATTTTGGGCAGCACCATGATAAGAAATGTGACCATTCCAGGTGCAAAAACAATGTCCTATCCCGGAGCTCGAGTAAATTATATTACTAAACTGCTCCCGAATGTACTACGTCAGGACATGGAAATCGATTATATCGTAGTCCATGTGGGTTTTAATGACATAATGAAGAGCAGCTCTGAATAGTTGAAACTGGATTTTAAAGAGCTGATTGACGCTCTGCTAGACACTAATAAAATACCCATCATATCTGGCCCTGTGCCCTCTCTGAATCATGGCATTGAATGCTTTAGCAGGATTCCTGCTCTTCACAACTGGCTACGTGATTATTGCAGCTCAATGGGTGTAACTTTTGTTGACAATTTCGATACCTTTTGGAAACATAACACATTTTATAAGGAGGATGGGATCCACCCAAATCA